GGCAAAATACTAGCCCTGGATGAACCCAACACTACTGCATCCTTGCAGGTGGAGGTCATGTTTCTGGTAGGTTTTTATCACTGTAAATTCATGTTCAGCACATTGAGTTAGGCTGTCAGTACTGCCAACAATCTTAATGTGCTTCTCTTCAATCCTTCTGTAACTATTTCAAACCCTTTTCACTCTAAAGGCTCTTTCACCCCGTAACTAATTACTTCGCAGGGAAAAAACAAAAAAACGTGATACCCATGTACACAAATGCATCTGCATTCACTTCATCCCTCCTCTTCCTGTACAGGAAGAATCCCTCCTCTTATTAAAGGCCAGTTATTCAACATGTGCTGGAATCCTATCTCCTCTCGTTCTCTCATGGAGTCTGTTGTTACTTGGTCTGTATTTTTCCTCTCTTTCTCCATTCGCTCTTTCCATGGATTGTTGAACACGCCATTCTCATCAGAAGAAATCTGCTTCTCATATTTCTCTCCAACCACAGTCCTATCTCTGCTTCACAGTCGGACTTCTCAAGTGTCTTCCCATGTTTTCCATGTCCTTGCCTCCTATTTGCGCTTAAAACCCACTATGGCTCCTGCCCCCAGTATATACAGTGGCCCTCACTAGAGTCACCAATGACCTCTATGTCACCAAGTTCTGGAGAGACTTCATTCTTAGCTTATCCTATGGCAACATGTGACATTGTTAAGTAACACTAAAATTGAAAACCTCAGGCCGGGCATGGTGGCTCACACCTGTAATCCCAGCACTTTGGGGGGCCGAAGGCCGAGGCAGGTGGATCATGAGGTCAGGAGATCGAGACCATCCTTGCTAACACGGTGAAACCCCGTCTCTACTAAAAATTCAAAAAATTAGCCGGGCATGGTCGGGGGCACCTGTAGTCCCAGCTACTCAGGAAGCTGAGGCAGGAGAATGGCGTGAACCTGGGAGGCGGAGCTTGCAGTGAGCCGAGATTGCACCACTGCACTCTAGCCTGGGTGACAGAGTGAGACTCTGTCTCAAAAAAGAAAAAGAATAAACCTCTAGGCATTTAGGACACAGTTAACTTGCTTTCTATCTTTATGCTGTTCCTCATCAATGCTTTTGTGGGCTTCTCTTCCTTTACCTAATCTGTACAGACTAGTGTTCTTCAAAGTTCAGTCCTAAACATTTTCTCGTGTCACAATAGTCTTGGACTATGTCATCCTCTCCTGTAGCTTCAGTTAGCAGCTATCAGCCAGTGACCTCCAGATTTGTTTCTATCTCCTGATTGCAGACCTTTACTAATTTACCATTTCCACCATGTGAACTAACAAAATTTAAATCATGCTATCACTAAATTTGCTCTTCCTTTTAACATCCCCCTCATCAGTAGCACTGCCACCTATCCACTTGTCCCAACCAGAAACCCTGGCGTTGCCTATGACTCCTACCCCTCCCTTAGCCCCAAAGTTCAACCATCACCAAATATAGAGTCAGTCTCCTACATATTTCTTGGAGCTGTGCTCGTCATCTTCACTGCCCAGGTCCTGCGTCCAAGCTGCCATGATCTCTACTGTTGCTTTTTCAAAAGCCTTCTACTGGGCTATCCATATCAACCCTTGCATCCTATAATCCTTTCTCCACTTCGCAGTTCCAAGAATCTTTCTAATGTACAAATAGCATCACAAAACTCTGTAGTAGACAGGATTTCTATATAGGAGGTTCTTAGACATTGGAAGGTAAAAGGTGGGGGTGGAAAAGGACTTAAGTTAGCATTATATAATACAAACATGTTACAGGTCAATGAAAACGTGATCATCTAAGGAGGCCTTTATTTACACCTCATGTAAGATATCAATTTGCATATCAGCCTTTTTAAAATGGAGGTAAATTAGAGGTTTAGGTTGCCCCCATCCTGTGGTGCTGCCACGTTTGCTTAAACACCTTGTTTTTTTGTTTCACTTTGTTTTGTTTTGAGATAGAGTCTTGCTCTGTCGCCCAGGCTGGAATGCAGTGGCATGATCTTGGCTCACTGCAACCTCCCCCTTCCAGATTCAAGCAATTCTCCTGCCTCAGCCTCCTGAGTCGCTGGGATTACAGGTGCCTGCCACGATGCCCAGCTAATTTTTGTATTTTTAGTAGAGATGGGTTTTCACCATGTTGGCCAGGTTGGTCTCAAACTACTGACCTCAGGTGGTTCGCCTGCCTTGGCCTCCCAAAGTGCTGGGACTACAGGTGTGAGCCACCAGGCCCGGCCTACTTAAACACCTTGTAATAAACAATTATACCTCAATAAAGCTGTTTAAAAACAAACACAAAACACAACTTGGCCAAAAATAGAGACCTCTTTTTTTCCTAATTTGGTGTCAGAGAATATAAATTTTGAGTCCATAAATCCCTAATGTTCCGTAGTCTGCCTGCCTACCTCTATATCCCACTCCAGGAATCCCTCCCATTCAGGCCTGTTTCCTCCCTAACTATGCTTAAACCACACTTGCTTTCTTTCAGTCCTTTTAAAGGGAAAGCTCTTTTCCCTTGGGCCTCACAGCCTTAACACAGGGACCTTAACCTCTGCTTGAAATACTTTTCCCCCTACTTTACCTGACTAACACGTACTTAAATTTCAAACTTCAGTGGAAATATTTTCTCAGCTTAGGTTAAATCTGCTCATTAGAGGTATACCATGGAGATATTGCTAGTTCCGTTCCAGACTACCACAATAAAGCAAATATTGCAATAAAGTAAGTTGAGAATTCTTTGGTTTCCCAGTACGTATAAAAGTTATGTTTATACAATACTGTAGCCTATTAAGTGTGCAAAAGCATATTTTTTAAATGTACATACCTTAATTTAAAAATTCTTTATTGCTAGAAAATACAAATGATCATATGAGTCTTCAGTGAATTGTAATCTTCTTGCTGGTGGAGGGTCTTGCCCTAATGTTGATGGCTGTTGACTGATTCGGGTGGTGGTTGCTGAAGGTTGGGACAGCTGTGGCAATTTCTTAAAATAAGCCAACAATGAGGTTTGCCTCTTCCTTTCAAGAAAGAGTTATCTAGCATGCAATGCTGTGTGATAGCATTTTAATCACAGTAGAACTTCTTTAAAAATTTGAGTCAATCATCTTAAACCCTGCTGCTGTTTTATCACCAAAGTTTATGTAATATTCAAAATCCTTTGTTGTCAACAATGCTCAGCATCTTCACTAGGAGTAGTTTCCATTTCAAGAAATTACTTTCTTTGCTAACCCATAAGAAGCAACTCAGGCAGGGTGCCGTGGCTCATGCCTGTAATCCCAGTACTTTGGGAGGCTGAGGGAGGTGGGTCACAAGGTCAGGAGTTCGAGACCAGCCTGGACAGCATGGTGAAACCCCGTCTCTACCAAAAATACAAAAAAATTAGCCGGGCATGGTGGTGCATGCCTGCAGTTCCAGCTACTCGGGAGGTTAAGACAGGAGAATTGCTTGAACCCAGCAGGCGGAGGTTGCAGTGAGCTGAGATTGTGCCACTGCACTCCAGCCTGGATAACAGAGCAAGACTCCATCTCAAACAAAAAAGCAACTCATCCATTCAAGGTTTATCAGGAGATTGCAGCAATTCAGTCACATCTTCAGGCTCCTCATTCTAGTTCTCTTGCTGTTTCCATCACATCTGCAGTCACTTCCTTCACTAAAGACCTGAACCCCTCAAACTCAACCATGAGAATTGGAATAAACTTCTTCCAAACTCCTCTTAATGTTGATATTTTGACCTCCTCCCATGAAGCACAAATGTTCTTAATGGCATCTAGAATGGTGAATTTTTTCCCAAAGGTTTTCAATTGATTTTGCCCAGATCCATTAGAGAAATCACTCTGTATGGCAGCTATAGTCGCACGAAATGTATTTTTTAAATAATAAGACTTGAAAACCAAAATTGCTTCTTGACTCATAGGCTGCAGAATGGATGCTGTGTTAGCAGGCATGAAGACAACATAAATCTTGTACATTCTCATCAGAGCTCTTAGATGACCAGGTGCATTGTCAATAAGTATCAATATTTTAAAAGAAATCTATTATTCTGAACGTCATTTTCAACAGTGGGCTTAAAATATTCAGTAAATAATACTGTAAACAGATGTGCTGTCATCCAGGCTCTGTTGTTTCTTGAGCACAGGCAGAGTAGATTTAACATAATTCTTAAGGGCCTTAGGATTTTGAAATGGGAAATGAGCATTGGTTTCAACTTCAAGTCACTAGCTGCATTAGACCTTCACAAGACAATCTGCCTGTCCTTTGAAGCTTTGAAACCAGGCATTAATTTCTCTCTGGCTATGAAAGTCCTGGATGACATCTCCCACTAGAAGGCTGTTGCATCTACATTAAAAATCTGCTGTTTAGTTTGGCCTCCTTCATCACCGATCTTCATTAGATCTTCTGGATAACTTGCTGCAGCTTCTACATCAGCACTTGTGGCTTCACCTTGCCCTTTTATGTTACAGAGATGGCTTCTTTCCTTAAACTTCATGAACCAACTACTGATAGCTTTAAACTTTTCTTCAGCTTCCTCACCTTTCTCAGCCTTCAAAGAGAGTTAGGGCTTTGTTCTGGATTAGGCTTTGGTTTAAGGGAATGTTGTAGCTGGTTTGATCTTCTATCCAGACCATTCAAACTTCCTTCCTATCAGTAATAAGGCTGTTTTGGTTTTTCTTATTATTCATATGTTCACTGGAGTAGTACTTTTAATTTCCTTTAAGAATTTTTTCTTTGTATTCACAACTTGGCTGTTTGACAAAAGAGGCTTAAGCTTTCAGCCTATCTTGGCTTTCAACATGCCTTCCTTACAGGCTTAATCATGCATTTCCAGCTTTTGATTTAAAGTGAGAGACATACAACCCTCCGACCGCTTTTGCGTAGGACACCGGAAATAAAAATCAAGGACAAGCCCAAGGGATTCCCGACAAGGAACCACCCTCCCGCCGCATTCCTACACGTCTTCCTGCTCCGCCCTTCGTAGGAAGCGCAGAGAGAGCAGCCCCCGGAGTGGAGGGGCGGGACTTCCGGTCTTCCCTGCAGTGGAGTGGTGAAGCGGGTCCTGCCCGTGCCGGTTTTGAAAGGCTGCTGTGCTGTTTGCGTTTTCTCTTAATAGTTAAGTTGCTGCTGTCTCCGCTTTCCTTTTACCTGGCGGGGATCTTGGTCAAAACACTCCCTGCGACCTTATTCCTCTAGGGTTGTGATTTTTTTCTTTCATCAAGAAATATCACCTGTTGGTAATTTGTCAAACTCAAGAAACCCCTGGAGAAGCAGTCGTTGGCAGGCGCGGAGGCTGCGGCTTCCAGAGCATTTTGGCAAATCAAAGCCAGGGACCGTTGCTGGGCCTCATTTCCGCAACTTTTCGGCTGGGAACTGCTGTGAGTGGAAGACTTTGGGTGGTTGTTTTGATAAGATTCCTTCTGTAACTAGAGACTATAACATTTTGAAAGAAATGAGATTCTCATTCATGTCAAGAACAGACTTACGGATTTTTGAGTGTTAAACATACCCTGAGGTAATGTGGTGGGTGGTGAGAACGCAAGCGGGAACGAGACAGTAGAGATGAGAATGGCAGTGTGGGTAGGAGCTGGGTTATACTTTCTTAAGGTATGCCAAGAAGCTTAGTCATTACACTTTTTTCTTGTGTATGCTTGATTCAACTTAGAAAACCGCCTCAATAAAGCTGTTAAGAAAAGAAACGAAAAAAAGATTTGGCCAAAAATAGACTTTCTTTTTCCCAAATTGGAATCGGAAAATGTCTTCCACCTATGTTATCAACACCCGTTTTTTCCCCTAAAATACCAAGTAGACATATCGGATATATACGTGTGTGTTTATATATATCTGTAATCTATATTGCCATTTGATAAGTACGTAAACAAGTGATGTAAAGCAGTTGGTATGGTCTGACTTGTGGAAAGTTACCTTTGACATCAATACTGGAGATGGATTGGAGAGAGAAGAAATTTCAGACAGTTGCAGGAGTTGAAGGGAGAGTCTATGGCCTGAAAAAGAAAAAGAGGTAGAGAAAGCCAGGTTCCAAAGACAGAAAATCAACAGTACTTGTTTACAGGGGCATGGAGTGGAAAGTCAAGTTTTAGAATATTGGCTACTAGCAATGAGACAGCATTAATTCAAATTGCAAATTCAGGAGGAGCAATTTACTTACTTTTCGTTGTTCAAATATTTATTGTGCCGTTACTGTTTGCCTAATACTTTTTTTTTTTTAAACAGAGTCTCGCTCTGTCGCCCAGGCTGGAGTGCAGTGGCGCCATCTTGACTCACTGCAAGCTCCACCTCCCGGGTTCGCGCCGTTCTCCTGCCTCAGCCTCCCGAGTAGCTGGGACTACAGGCGCCCGCCACTATGCCCGGCTAATTTTTGTATACTTAGTAGAGACGGGGTTTCACCATGTTAACCCAGATGGTCTGGATCTCCTGACCTCGTGATCCACCCGCCTTGACCTCCCAAAGTGCTGGGATTACAGGCGTGAGCCACCGCGCCCGGCCCTTTGCCTAATACTATTTTAGATGCCAGAGATACTGTTGCATATAAGACAGATAAGGTGCCTGCTTCAGTTGAGTTTATATCCTAGTGGGAGAAGACAAAAAGCAAGTAAATAAATAATCAATTTTGATAATAGATTCTGTGAAGAAAAAACTTGAAGAGGGATGACAAATGATTGGGAGATGTTTGGGAGTAACTTTAACTTAGTTGGTTGTTAGGCGCTTGTAGGAGTTACATTTGTGCTGAAACCTTGATGATGATAAAGAACCAGTCTTGTGATGAGCCAAGGAAAAGACAAAGCAGGCAGAAAGAACAGTGCAAAGATTCTAAGATGGGAAAGAGATTGTTTAAAGAACATTAAAAATGCCAATGTATCTAAAGTGCCCTGTAGAAGTAGGAGAGAGTTGAGAAATGACATTTGGAGAGGTAGATAGGACCAGATTGTGTGACCTTTGTAGGCCATAGTTTTAGGAGTTTGCATTTTATTCTAAGTGGAAATGGAAGGTATTGGTGGGCTTTAAGCCGCAAAGTGATAGATGTGATTTTCATTTTAAAAGATCCCTCTGGGTACTACTGTATGCAGACTGGATTTGAGGGAAGAGATGAGAGTGAAAGTGCAATTAGGGGATATTACAGAAGCCTGCTTTTGGTAGGAGTGATTAAGTTCCATTTTAGTTACGTTGAGTTTGATTTATCTATGGGACGGGGACATAGAGAGCAGTCTAGCAGGCAGCCACCTGAAAGCTCTGTGAGAAGTCGGGTACATTTAGAAGTTCTCTAGAGAAAGAAAATAATTAAAAGTTGTGTGAATCTCCTCAGGAGAGACCATGTGGTTAAATAATTACTTATATCCTGTCATATCCTCAGAAGATTACAGATGATATCACCTACAGCTGATTACATACATTAAAGGGGTAAGGTTAAAAAAAGACAAGGTGGGCCGGGTGCGGTGACTCACGTCTGTAATCCCAGCACTTTGGGAGGCCAAGACGGGCGGATCACGAGGTCTGGAGTTCGAGACCATTCTGGCTAACATGTTGAAAACCTGTCTCTACTAAAAGTACAAAAAATGAGCCAAGCGTGGTGGCATGCGCCTATAGTCCCAGCTACTCAGGAGGCTGAGGCAGGAGAATCACTTGAACCCGGAAGGCGGAGGTTGCAGTGAGCCCAGATGGCACCCCTGTACTCCAGCCTGGCAACAGAGTGAGACTCCATCTCAAAAAAAAAAAAAAAAAAAAGACAAGGTGGGGCATAAAAATGACAGGAGTGTTAAGAAGAGATGAAATGTGGACTAAGGTCAGGTCTTGAAGAATCCTTGATTTAAGGGAACAGTGAAGAAGAATGATTAAAAACAGGTAGAAGTGAAGAAGAAAACTGTGGCAGCCCAATGTTGGGGGGAAAAGAGTTTGGCGCAAGGGAATGTAGACAATGCTGTTACACGCTGATGAGGTTTAGTAGGATGAAGACTAAAGTCATTGGGTGTAAGAAGACATTGGTGACCATTGCAAAACAATGTCAGTAAAGAGAGGTGAAAGCTGGATTGCAGTGGATTGAAGATAGATAGGAGAGAAGGTTGGTAGTGAGTGAATACTACACTTGAGCTGTTTATAAGTAGGAAATATGGATAAAGTGGTGGAAGTGTTTTCTATAGTAAGTTATTTTTTTTCTGGCAGGTAAAACTTGGGATTACCTGGGTTGTAGAAGGGGATGGGGTTAGTGTTAGAAAGGAATAAAAACATTTCATAAGATTGATTGAGTGCCTGCAAGGCAGCATCCACAGTGCTAGTTACTGTCATATTTGTTTTCTCATTTAATCCACACAACAGTCCTGTTACTACTCCCATTTTACAAATGAGGAACAACCTGAGACTTACAGCTAGCTAGTAAATGGTAAGATGTGAATGAAACCCAACTCTTTCATTCCCCTTCTGTCACTGCTATATGGAGAGCATAGGTGAAGACAGAGTATTTTAGAGGTAGAGAAGAGGAAATTGAATGCAGCTAAATAAGGACAAATCCAAGACAACAGGAGCTTAAGTTGCTTGTTAGTAATAAAGAGCTATTTCTTTAATGCTAGGGTAGAGACAGGTTTCCAGGTATTTGGATTTCTTCTTCAGGGTCCTTTTCCCATAGGCCTAATAGTTACCTTCTGCCCGTCTTTTGAATTTGTATTACAAACAATTTGCTGCATTCTTACAGCAAAGGTGGAATTTGCTTATTATTTGAAATTTGAAATGAGATAATGAGCATATAATTTATAGAAATTAAATTTCTTTAGGCTGGGCGCAGTGGCTCATGTCTGTAATCCCAGCACTTTGGGAGGCTGAGGCAGGCAGATCACAAGGTCAGGAGTTCCAGACCAGCCTGACCAATATGGTGAAACCCCATCTCTACTAAATTACAAAAATTAGCCAGGCATAGTGGCATATACCTGTAATCCCAGCTACTCAGGAGGCTGAGGCAGGAGAATTGCTTGAACCCGAGAGGTGGAGGTTGCAGTGAGCCAAGATCACGCCACTGCACTCTAGCCTGAGCGACAAAGCGAGACTCCATCTCAAAAAAAAAAAAAAAAAAAATTAAATTTCTTCTTGGTTATGTTCCTGCATTGGAGTAAACTTCTAGAAATTATAAGCTTCTAAATGGTAAGCATATAATTTGCAAAATTTAAATTTCAGTAGAAGTGAAGCTATTAAAATTATAAAGACAGTTATCGCTTTATCTCTTCTTGGTTATGTTCCTCCATTGGAGTAAACTTCTAGGGGTTAATTAAGGCATTTTGTTAAGGATGTTCATTTCAGATCTATCAAGTGTAGTTAGTGTTTTTCTAACGAAAGTAAATGCAATGGCAATGTCATGTTCTTAGAAAATGCATCGATTTATTTTGATAAAACTTTTGTACATTAAGAGAACTATTTGTGCTATTGTGTTTCCTATTTCATTCAGTCTTTGACTTAGAAGGACATCTTATTCTGCCATAGTAATGGCAGCCGAACTGCGAATGGTACTTTATGAAGATGATTCAGTACAAGTACAATATGTTGATGGTTCCACGTTGCAACTTTCTCCCTGTGGCTCTGAATTTTTATTGGAAAAGTCACCTCCTGTTTCAGCACATCCTTTAGAACAACCAGAAAGAATTCGTCAAAGGACACATTTTGTCATTAGCACTTACAGAGTAAGTAAAGATATCGCATAAAAACTTTTTTGTTTTTACAGACAGGTTTTTGCTCTGTCACCAGGCTAGAGTGCAGTGGCACTACCATAGCTCACTGCAGCCTCAAACACCTAGGCTCAAGTGATTCTCCTGCCTCAATCTCCTTTTACAAGCAAGTTACTCTAGGACTACAGGCGTGCACTATCACACCTGGCTAATTTTTAAATTTTTTGTAGAGCATTGTCTAGCTATGTTGCACAAGCTGGTCTCACACTCCTGGCCTCAAGTAATCCTCCCATCTCGGCCTCCCAGTGTGCCAGGATTACAGGTGTGAACCACCATGCCTGGCCAAAACTACTCTTTGAATACTAAAATACTGTTGATGTGGCTAGAATATGAAAAGTAATTAGTATCATAGATTATACTGTACTGTCATTTTTAATTGATTTTCAAATCATTTTACATTAAGGTTACATTTTATATTTCTTTTCATAGGAGCAACTACAGCGAGCCCTAGATTTTCGAAACTCTTCAGCTACTTACCCTTTTTTATCTGAAACCATCATACCTTCTGAAAGAAAAAAGGTGATTTTTTTAACTTCATTTTTGTTAGTATTATTTGAGGACAAGTAACTAGAAACAGGTAATTTAATGTTTAGCCTTTTTTTCTTTTTCAGGACACTTGGGGATACATTTTTATAAAACATTGAAGTTACATAGTTTATCCCCTTGCCATTTTCTTTGTATCCAAGGATTATAATCAGAATCTTTTAGATTGGTGACTTTTTCATTCTCAGAGGTCTCAAAATTAAGAAATTATGTGACCTTTTTCAGTAACAGTGTGGTATTTGTTAATGTATGGTAGAGATCTGTAACTATGGGTATGACCTTTATTATTTTGCTTATACAGTATTTTATTTGGATTTTTAGGAATAATAATAACAACTGTAATTTACTGAGGGTTTACTATGTCCATCAATAATGAATAATACTGGAAATATTTAATAACACCATACTGATCAAAGTGGATGTCCATCCAATCAAAACAGGTATATTGGCTAGATGGCAGCTTTTTTTTATAGACAAGGAAATTATGTCTCAGAGAGTTTACCTAATTTGTCTATGGCAGTTTTCTAAGTGGCGAAGTCAGGATTTGAACCTAGTCTATCTGACTCTGTAAACTCTGTTTCTCAACTACTTTCTGCTGTCTTTCTATGCTGTCAAGATGCTGGCCTGCCGACTGAGTCATTTTATATTGTCTTGTGGCAAAGGAGCCATAAAAAATTATAAGTTGTAACTTAGTCTAGAAGGGTAATTTTCCATTGTGTCTTTTGAGTCACTTTATTCACTGAAACTGACTAGCTTGTTGCTGATGCTGCAGCAGGATTATTAGATAGTCTAATTCTAAAAGAGGACTTTGATGACTGGATCCTTACAAACCAGCTTTGCTGCCAATAAAGACAGCAATTTTAGTGTCCTAACATTGTACACATAGATAGCATGGTAAATTTAGGAAACTTTCTTGACAATAGTTTGTGTAAATGTAAGGTTTTACATAAATGGAATTGAAATGCTAAATGTTTGGCAAAATTAATTCAGTAAAAAACTCTCATGCAGTATCTACTGTTTATATCTTATATGAAAAGACACAACCAACACTGTTACTTGTTATGAGTCTGTTATTAGTCAGGATCAATTTTTCTTTGAGTAATTAAACTTTTTTAAAGTTTCCTCTAAGCCTTCTGAAATTTATTTTAGTGTATGGTGTGCCAGGTACTACCTAGGATGGGTACTTTATAAATGTTGCCTTATTTAGTCCATGCGATAACCCTGCAAGACAGAATTCCCCAAATGCTGTTCAGTAATTCCAGTACTAGTTTAAATAATTTTCTCTTTTCCCCCTTGCTCTGAAAAACTTATGTTATTGCATATAACATTTTAAGATATGATTGAGTTTGTTTTTGAATTTTCTGAGTTGTTCTGTCAATAATTTTTATGCTAGTCCCATACCATTTAAGCTATGGTTGCTTTTTTTTATTTCTTTTATTTAAAACTTAAACATTTTTAGCTAACATTGCTTTTAATATAATATATCATAGTGCTGGTCTTCCCTTATTTCTAGTTTTTTTCAGAGTAAACTTTTGCAGGGTGAGGGGAGGGGTACAAATCTGTTTATCTCTAGTTCATTGTACATTTAAAACCAAAATACATTTAACACTAAATATGATCATTTCCCTCATTTTGTGTCTGTATGTTTTACATCTCTTTTTTTTAAGGGAGATAATCTTAACAATATCAAATATTCTCTGGAAAATCATATATAGGCTGAGATCTGGCCCTCCATTTTTTCATTCTCTCTAGATAGTAAAAGACAAATATTTAAGAGCTGTCTTACACAATACTTAAATATCAAATGTATGGAAAAATTGGACTGTTAACAGAAAATACTCACCATCTCTTTTTCCCCCCTCATTTCAGCATATCTTCATTGACATCACAGAAGTGAGATGGCCCAGTCTTGATACAGATGGTACCATGATATGTATGGAGAGTGGCATTGTGAAGATAACATCTTTAGATGGTCATGCATACCTCTGCCTGCCCAGATCTCAGCATGAATTTACAGTACATTTTTTGTGTAAAGTTAGCCAGAAGTCAGACTCATCTGCAGGGTTGTCAGGAACAAATAATAAAGCCCCAAAAGATAAACTAGTTGAAAAAGCTGGCAAAATCTGTATACATGGAAATTTATCAGGACAGAGACTGAAGAATAAAGAAAATGAGCTTCATTGCCAGATCATGAAATCCAAAGAAACTTTAAAGAAGATGAGTTGTGTAAATGGAACTGAAGGGAGGAAAGAGCTGCCTTTGCCTGGTACAAAGCACACATGTGTATACACATGGGTCAAGCAGTGCTGGTCTGTGGCTGCCTGTCCAGAGGAATGGAAATATCCTTTGTCTTTAGCACTTCATTTTCATAAGAAAATCAACAATATGTCTAAAATTGATGCACATATAACTCAGAGTAGATGTTTAACTTCTGATATTTCAGAGGAAAGAGGAAAAATGGTTTCTGTTCTTCCCAGGGCCCTGCCACTCAGCTGTCCAGTTCCACACCTGCACAGGTAATGCAATAATGGCTATTAGTCATGAAGCTTTTATCAGAACCAGTCTTTACCTGGATAATTTTATCTGATACCATTCATAAGGAAAGTTTATCTCATCCAAAATTTTGCTTTTAACTGATAGTAAATAATTTCCCTAGCAAATGTGTTGCTTATGTTTCTTACTCTGTGTCCATGCATTGAGTGTAGAAGGCTGACTCTACATTAGATACTGTGCTAAGTCCAGTGACTGCAGAGATGACTAAGACACAGTCCCTGCTTTATAGCAACTTAGAATCTAGTGGAGGTCACTGTACCTAAAAAGATTATTAAAGTATGCTAAATGATGGGACAGGAGTCTGCACAGGGCTCTGTGGGCCCAGGGGAGCACCTGCTGCTGCTCACTGGAGCCCGTGACCTTGCTTGCTGGAGTGTGGATCTGACACAGTTCTTTTGTCCATACCTAGCTTCAGAGGCTACCCCTCTCTTTGGTTCACTGACTATAAATATGTTATTTTCAAAATGGGTACACATGGAGCAGCTTCTGTAAGGCTAAGTATAAAACTTTTACCTCCACTAAGGATTGTAGATTTGTAACATCAACTTTGCATAAATAGTGCAGTAATAATGATAATAACTAACACTTCCAAAACACTTATGTGCCAGGTACTGTTGGACTTTACCCGTTTGATTCTCAAAGCAACCCCGTGAAGTTAAAAGACATATCATCCCTATATGTAGAGGAACTTGAGACACAGAAATGTTAAATAACTTGAGGAAAGGTACACAGCTAGTACTTGTAAAATTGAGATTTGATCCCAGGCAATATCTGAGTATACATTTGTTATTTAAAACAAAAATATGGGAATGACTGTTAGGCTTGTCATGATTATCTGGTTAAAATGAGAAAAGTATTATGAGTACATATCAAAAGGGAATTATGCTTCAAAAGTAATGATTTTTCAATAACTTATCACTATGTTTAGGTTGAAATCTATGATCCTTCACATAGCTTACCAGGTCTTTTGTGATCTGGTCCCTTCCTATATCTGTAACCTTCAACTCTTTCACTACTCTTGCCCTTGCTTTCTCTATTCTTGCTAAGCTGGACTTCAGCAATCCCTAAAATGCTTGCTCAAGCACTCTCTGACCACTGCACCTACTCTTTACTCTGCAGGAGCACTCTCCCTTTCTCTCTCTCAACTGTCTAACTTGTGCTCATTTCCAGGTTTCAGCTAAAACCTAACTTCTTTAGAGTGGTTTTCCTGAAGACCCTAAACAAGTTAAGTCTTATATAATTCCATAGCATACAGTACTTGCCTTTTCTTTATACTCAATGTTTATTATTTAACGTCCCTGCTGAGGGCAGGGACCATGTCTCCTTTTTTTGGTTGTTATATCCACAGTGTGTATAGCACAGTGCTTGGCCCACCATAGATATTTTAGTAATTTTTCTTATTTATTTTTTGAGATGGAGTCTCACTCTGTCACCCAGGCTGGCACGATATTGGCTCACTGCAACCTCCGCCTCCCAGGTTCAAGCAATTCTTCTGCCTCAGCCTCTTGAGTAGCTGGGATTACAGGCGCATGCTACCACGCCTAACTAATTTTTGTATTTTTAGTGGAGACGGGGTTTCACCATGTTGGTCAGGCTGATCGAACTCCTAACCTCGTGATCTGCCCGCCTCGGCCTCCCAAAGTGCTGGGGTTACAGGCATGAGCCACCATGCCTAGGGAATCCAGGCTAAATTGTAAATGTTAGTTAAACTGTTAATTTATGTAATTGTGCTGAGATTCAATAATAAGATTATTGAAAATACTGAAAAAACGTGGAAAAAGAAGACTTGCTTTTATATTTCCTTAATATACCTTCATATTAATTTTTATTCTTTGATATAGCGAGTTAAACAAGAAATTAATCCTGTTACAGTAGCACCATTTTCTTGACTTCTAAAGGCAATTATATTGAGCAACCAGAAGTAATAGCTTGTATTTTATCCTTCACAGGTGGAATTTTTGGGATTCACTTTTACAGAGACAATGCGATGAATATTCCTATCCTGAACAAGTAAAAATGGTTTGGTACAAAGGTGTTACATATAGGTGAGGCACCGATGTTGGCTCCTGTGTTGGAGTTAGAGCTGTTTATTGATGTCACAGAGAAGACTGGACTAGCCTTATAGAGAGACTCTCAGAAGAGGACACAGTTCTGCTGGGCCAACTGTGCTCCTGTGTTTGATCCTGAGTTTTACAGGTCTCAAAACTAATGTTATTAGTGCACATGAGGGTCTTGTGACTCACTCACATTAACCATTTTTATAAGACTTATGTGGTACCTCCAAAGCCAATGAGGGATCAGTTTGCTAGTGAAGGTAACATTCATATCCGTTATTTAGGATACCCCTTCCAAGCACTGGAGGATCAAGTTGTTTGAAATAGTCAAAACAGAATTGCTTGAGCATGGAATTAGAGAAGGTAGATCACCTAAGGGAGATTTTTAGCCTTCATTCACAAAGCAAATGCTCATTGAGTGGCCGCTCTGTGCCAGCACTGTTCCATTGAATTATCCCTACCCCACAACAAAGGACACCCTTCTAGTGACTAGAATACTAGTGTTAGCCAGATTGAGAGTTTCACTTCCATGAATAATGCTAGAAGAGCACTGCTAAATTTTTGGAGAGAGAGGGGGCTCTCCTTTTCTATGTGAAGACCTAGACCTATTCCTTCCAACAACATATTCTAACATATATGTTAATAAAATTAACTTGGATTAAGTTTCTATGTGTTATATACCCAGTACCTTGATTTTACCTGGCTGCTCCAGGTATAGCCACCTTTTCTTAGGGATATCCCCTTGTACAGATGGCTAATCTTATCCATAAAGTTTTGATTCCACTAGTTTCATTTATCTATTTTCAGGCTCTGGAAAGGTTGTATTTAACTCCTATGCAATAGACTTTGCTTTGGTGACCCTTATATGCCAGCCTTGTGATTAGCAGTGGGGATATCAAGAAGATGATAAGACAAAATGCCTGAATTCCAGAAGCTCTTAGTTTAGTTATTGAAATAAATGCATAAACCAATTCTATTTATCTTTCTGTGAAAAAGTTAGCTGGTTGGGTTCAGCATATGAAATTATCTGCTTCATTGGACAGGGAAAAAGACTGTGCTTCTTTGCTTAGATTTTGTTGTTTCTGTTTTTTGATGGCTATCTTCATGCATGTTTTAATCTCAAGTGGAAAAAAATTTTAATGGTTATTTCTCTTTCTTAGACTTACCCATCAAAATATGAACTCAATAGAGATTTATCCTGGAGATGGATCTGTTTTCAAATCAGAAGGGGCTTATTTTGGGAAATATTTTACATATTATTCCATTCAAGAAGGATCAGAAGAGGTAAGCCAACAATGAACTCAACTCAAGAAGAGTTTTGCTGTATAGCTCTTTCTAAATAATTCTAAATATGTATGGGAAATTTGGTCATTATATAACATTGCTTCCTACTCCCCAGTCAATATAATTTTACTGCCAGCATTGGTACAGTAATTATTAACCACCTTATTTTTACTGTATTTTCACCTGCTATCTCCATTTGCCTAAGCAGTTCGCGTTTAAATCAGAAACTTTCTTTTGTCGTAGACTTTATCGATGGAAAATGCTGAAACCAGGAGCATTACTTTGAGTTAATACACTACTTTGAATTAATATTTGTACATTAAAAAGCAAAAGCACATTCTTTTTTCCCCACCATGTAATTGTGTATTTTAAGCACCTCTTAACTTCTAAATCTTTATGTACAACTAGACAGTTGAACAAGATTGTTCTCTGTTGCTGAAAACAGTGAAACATAATATGATATAATTACCAGATCATAGTCTTAATAATGTCAATATTTTGTTAATGAGTTTTAATTTGCTTATTGCCACTCGGATATTTGACATCCACCCTTGCATAGCAATCACTATAGTATCACACTACTTTGCATGCTAGAACAAAATAAGTATGTTTTCTGTCTTCATTACAGAGTGGAGTATTTAAATACTAATCAGATTATTAGAATCCCTAGGGAGTAGAGTTAAAAATTGAGACTTTTTTAAACTATGGAAATTTCAAACATATATAAAAGTAGACAGATATAATGGACCTCTATGTACCCATCACCCATCTTGTTCATTTATACTTCCTGCTGCTCCCTCCACTCCCTGTTTATTTTTAAGTAAATCCCAACCAAATATTGTTTTATTCATAAATACTTTAGTATATATTGGAACAGATTCCTAACTGGGGCCTATCTCTAGGAAAGTATTTAGTAAATAAATATTAATTGAACAGTAACTCTTTGGCAGGCACTCCAGTAAGCACTGACAAAGATGAAGATGAAGAAGAGTTCCTGCCCTCAAGAGTTCACAGTCTTGTGTTCAGTTAGAGAAGCAAACAAGCAAATGAGATACAAGTGTGCCCAGTAACATGTATACGTATATATGTGTATATGTGTGTGTATATAGTACATCAGACAATCAAGTGAGCAAGCAAGCAGAGTAGGTATGCATAGTCACATTGCTGACTGCTGTGTATCAAGGGGTTTGCAAAATTGCAAGATAAGAGGAGTGTATCTTCCTGGAGCTTCAATTCTACTCAAAGCTGTTGCGGGAGGGGGTGATAATTTTTATACTGAAGCAAATATATCAAGTAGAAGTGTGAACTTTTGGGTTAAAATGCGTTTGTGGTGGACTGCCTTGGGCTTCACTCTCCAACCTCTGTGTGCAACACATTCACCCTTCTCTGTCTGCTTTAGTGCAAAGATTTAGAAACAATTGACCCTCTTTTGGGGATAAAGTTGTTTGCTCCTTACTTTAACCCAGACTCCAAAATAAATTTCAGATGAATTAAAGAGCTAAATGTAAGAAACCAAACTTTGTAAGTGTTAGAAGAAAATATAGAAGAACAATGTTTAAAATCTCTGGGTAAAGGAGATTCTTCTTAAGTAGAATACAGAAAACCAGAAGGCGTAAAAGAAAAGTTTGACAAGCTTGAAATCTTCAAACTTATGTTAAATTATAAATATTTAGGCCGGACACAATGGCTTATGCCTGTAATCACAGCATTTTGAGAGAACAAGGTTGGTGGATCACATGAGGCCAGAAGTTCGAGACAAGCCCAGCCAACATGGCAAAACTTCGTCTCCACTAAGAATGCAAAAATTAGCTGGGCATGGTGGCGCGTGTGTGTAATCCCAGCTACTTGTGAAAGTGAGGCATGAGAATCGCTTGAACCTGGGAAGCGGAGGTTGCAGTGAGCCAAGATCACACCACCGCACTCCAGCCTAGGAGACAGAGCAAGACTCTGTCTCAAAAAAATTTTTTTAATTAAAAAAAAAATTTAGAATTTCTGTTAAAAAGATAAGCAAAGGCCTGGAAGATATTCCACACTGTAAATCAGTAATAGACCAAAAAAACCCAAAATACCCTAATAGAAAAATGGGCAAAGGGTAAAAATGGATTTAGCCATAGAAAAGATAATGTAAATTTAAAAGTCATAATATTTGAAAACATATTCAACTTTACTGCTTGCATCAGGGAAATGCAAAAAATCAATAACATACATTTTTCCCTTACCAAATTGTCAATAACTAAAAAGACTGATGGCATCTTCTGCTGGGAAGGGTGTGGGAAAAGGGGTGCTTTCATAGTGTTGGTTGGAGTGTTAATTGGTTCAGCTTTCTTAAAGGACAATTTGATAACATCAAATGAAACTGATGAGAAATTCTGCTTCTCAGTATCTAGCCTAGAAAAATATTTGCACATGTGTTCAAAGAAGCATGGCAAAGGGTGTGTATTGTGGCATTATTTGTAGCAACAAAAAATCAGAAGCAACCTAAATAAATGTTCATTAATAGGGAAATGGTGAAGTGTTATTATTATCAAATTATGGGAATGGTGTGCAGTAGTTGAAAAGAATGAGGTAGATGTTGATGCATAGAGTAATAGATTCTGGAAGATCTCAAAGATATTGTTGAGTGAATAAAGAAACTTGGGTTAGAACACGTACAATGATATCTTTTGTGTAAAGAACAAAAAATAAACCCCATACCTGTATAGTACTTTCTGTAATACACATGCACAAGCGCAAGAAAGGATCCTGGGCAAATACACACTGAAGTAGCTACCTTTGGGAAGGACTGTGGGATTTTGTGAGGGAGGAGAAGTCTGAGAGGACTCAATTTTCATACTTTTTGAACTTTTTTTTTAACAAAAACGTAATTTATTATTTATTGTGTAATTAAAAATTGAAATAGGAAAGACTGACAAGTACTCACAGTGTAAGTACTTCCATAGAGACAAGAACTTGGTGCTTTGGGACCACATAAGAAAGGGCACCTGACCCAGTGTTTGAGGCTCCAGAAACAACTCCTGAAGGAAGACTTGGCTAAGCTAGGATCTATAATTCCAAAGGAGGAGTTGTACAAAAGACAAATGGAGGTAGGAGGAGCATATAGCTAAGGGAACAATTTACTTTATCAACTCTTTGCATGGCTGGCTTCTTGTCACTCAGATTTCTATCTAAATGTCATCTCCTCACAGAGGCTTTTCCTGACTATTCAAATTAAAGAAGCTACCCAAGACACTCCCTATCATGACATCCTCATCTTTTTTCTTCAAAGCACTGAATAGTGGGTGACATTTTCTTAATGATGTATGTTCATTGTCAGCCACACTAGAGTTAAGCCCTGTCTTATTCAACACATTATTATTGCTGGTTCTTAGAACAGTTTATAAATGGCACCGAACTGGACAAAAGAGCCTGGGGCAAGTGTGGAGTGTTGAAGGAAGTGAAAATGTTGTAGTTTGGTAGGCCAAAACATAGATGGGATGCTAGGGGAAATGTCCACAGAAGAAGCCAGATTACTAAGATAGCCAGCTCATAACTGGAGCATAAGAAACCTCACTGCATTTGGGGAACCACTGAAGGATTTCAAGTAGGGAAGTGACTTCAGATTTTTGTTAGATTATTTCAGAGGAAGATGAACTGGGTGGGAAAGAGGTAAAACTTGAAGCTGTAGAACCAGTCAGAAGACATGTATAATAGTTCAAGTGAAAGCCAGGCAGTGGTAGGGAAAATGGAAAGAAATATTAAGGAGACAGAACTGATTGCTGACTGGACACTGAGGATGAGGAAGGAGTTGAAAGCGATGCCAAATTATTAATAAACCAGTGAATGGTGGTGCAATTTTTGGTGTGAAACCAAAATTTTTATCAAATCTAAATTTTTTTGATGATGGCTTTTTTTTCTTTTGAGCCTACCATGAGATGTCAGGTAAAGAAGGATTTGAGATTATTAAAATTCAACTATGTCTCAACCCCACCTGCCTAATAGATTATAAGACACTCTTAATTGTAAGATGGATCCAGATTTCAGAGAGGTTAAATTGTGAAAAATAAACATTTTAGAGTTGATGAAATAGGGTCATGGAAATAAGAACCCAGAGGGAACTCAATACCAGTAGAGAAAGACATAAATAATTAAAATGTGGTATTCTGAGTGCCTCCCATGTGCTAAGCACTCTGCTAATAAATGACGATGATACAGACATGAGCAAAACAGACACAGCCCCTTCCTTCATGGAGCTGTATTCTAACAGGGAAAACAGACATTAAGTAAAAAACTATTAAACTGAAGTTGTAATTAAGACCAAGAGGCAGGATTAGAGGGAACTGTGCTTGTGGACATAACTAGGGGATTTCTTCTAGTCTATGGGACCTCTGCAATGGCTTCCCTGAGACGGAAGGAAAAACAGGTGTTAGCCAGGCAAACGAAGGTGAGGGAGGAGGGAACTGAGTTCTAGGTAGAGGGAACAACATGATAAATGACATACCAAAGGTAAATACAGCGTAGAGAAAGTGAAAGTGCAAATTTTGAAATAACACTAATTCCAGTTTTAACATAGTGATGTTGAGATGTCTGTTTTGATAGCCAAAAGAGAAGCCCAATAGAGATTTAGATAGTCAGATAAAAGGACAGAGACTTTTGTTTGGAACATATTATATGCTAAATTCTGTCCCAGGAACTTTATATGTATATTATATCATTAATCCTCAGATAAATCTGGATGGTAGGCAGTATCCCCATTTCACAGGCTGCAGGCACTGAGGCTTATAAAAGGTTGTATAGCCTGCCCATCAGTATAGTTGGTAAGAGGCAAACCTGTGATTTGAATCCACATTTGTCTGACTTTGAAGCCCATCTTCTTCCCCTAATGGTAAAGAGTATGAGCTGCACTCTTTTGGTGGTTTAAATCAGATCTCTACTGTTTCTTAGCCCTCAGTCTCAGTTTTCTCATCTGAAAAACAAGCATTAATAGTTATCTCAGAATTATTTTAAGAAACAAAGGAGATAATCCATGTAAAGTGAGTAGGATAGTGCCTAGCACATAGCATCTGCTCCACAAATGTTAGCTGTTGCTATTATGATATTTTATGTGAACACAGCTTTGAACCCTTTTAGGATTATCTAAAAAGAAATCAACAAGTTGGAAGAGAAGGCTGGAGACGGAGTCCTGGAAAACACTAGCAAGTCTGAGGAAGAGGAAATTCAGAAAGAATTTTAAAATAACAATTTTTTTCTAATTTCAATAACCTCAGCCTGTAAATAATTTTTTCTTCCATAAACTATAGCAATAGTTCTTCCATTAATGTAGCAAAATGGTATATTCATTCAATTAAAATAGTTTTTTTTTTAATCTATATAGCCATTTCTTTTTGTCTTAAGGGAAAGGAGTGGCTCATGATAAATTTCCTGCTAATGTGTAGGAAAATTAGTTTGGTTACCATATTAATGTAAATATAGCTGATATTTAAATTGTATAATAAGTTATAAGTTGTTAGAATTTAATTTTTGGGCTAGGCATAGTGGCTCATGCCTGTAATCTCAGCACTTTGGGATCCCTTGAGCTCAAGAGTTTGAGACTCATCTGGATAATACAGAAAGACCTCGCGTCTACAAAAAACTTAAAAAATTAGCCCAGCATGGTGGCATGTGCCTGTGGTCCCAGCTACTCGGGAGGCTGAGGTGGGAAGGCTTCTTGAGCCACAGAGGCTACAGTGAGCTGTAATCGCACCATGGTACTCCAGCCTGGGCAACAGGGTAAGACCCTGTCTCAAAAATAAATAAATAAAATAATAACTTTCAAATGAATAGGAGTAATTCTATATTTTTTAAAAATGAGAAAATGAAAAAGCATCATAAAATACCATGGTTTTATGGGCTTCCGTTTGTTAAAATAACTACTCGTCACTATTGTAAAAACATATTTCAAGGAAAAACAGCTAAGTAATAAAGGCAAAAATTTATTATTAATGAAATTTTTCATTTTAACTAATTTTCAGAGAGAAGAGAAAACTTACTCAGTAAATAACCTTCCTCCAGATAGACCAGGAAGTCCATTCTCTGTTGGTTCTCTAATTAAACAGGCAACAAGGTAAGTTCTTCCCATTCAATTGAATCAAATGTTATGTGTCTAAATATCTTGGCACATTTTCTTGTGATTAAGGATGTGATTAAGAATTGGCAGGTACAATGGAAATATATGCCTTCAGTAAAATTTGTCAACTTTTTTGGTGTCATAACTTATAAAATAAGGTAATTTTTATGTCATTTATTAAGAGTACTTCCGGCTTTGTAATTTAAATACGGAGAACTATCCATATATAGTGAGCAAGTGCTGAGAGGAAGTAAGTGCTCTTTCTCTGCATAAGTGTGGCATCATTATTGTTCCTTGAAATCAAGTTGGAGATTTGATGATATATTTAATATGTTTATACTTCTTTATTATCTTCAGAGTAATAGATTTCTGAGAGTATGATAAAGCATAGATTGGTTCTTTGGTTCATGCTTTTAAAATTCTCTCAATCTGTAACACCCAGAAGAATGCAAGTGGACTGTTGTATTGTTTCTTTTTATAAATTTATGTACGAGCAATTTCCAAAATAGATTTGAAGAAGCATATTCTATAATTTGATTTCCTAGGGATAGTTGATTCACATCCCTACCATTTTTAGGCTATGTGAAACTTTCCAGGTGGTGTGAATCTATCACCTCTTAAAAAGGAGTTCCTGAAAATTCTGTCCATGGAATCATTTCATTGCTAAAAATTAGAGGAATAGCCTTAAGTAGGTAAGATTATCACAAAGGGAAGCAACAGTAGTTCCCTTCTAGGGTCTTAAGGATTTCTTGAGAAAAAAGAGTTCCCAACACATTTCAGTGGAAATGATTTACGGATCATCTAAAATGTTGTATGGCAGTGAAAATAGGTTGCTAGAATTGGAAAATGTCATTTGCAAATGTTTAAGTAGTAGTTTTCGTGTTCACAGAATTCTTCAACATTGTGTGAAGATGAGACTTTCTTTAAGCCATAACTATCGTATATGCTGCTGGAAAATGGTATGTTAAAATTATTTTAAAAGCAAGATATTTTTAAATTGTTTTATTGTTTGTATCCATACTTCTGAGTTCAAACAGCTTTCCTCTAAGTTATGTGAGAAATTCTTTGTAACATTAATGTTGGTTTATTCAGAAAAATACCTACCTAGTAGACAAACACTGAAAGTTCAGGCTTTAATGTTACAGTTTTATTGTATATGGTTTGTTTTTGTTTTTCATGAAGAGGAAAGGATAGGGGAACTGACTGGATTTGAAGTATGTAAAAATCATTATAAATCATGATATTATAGTGTTCTATATTTTCATAACTGTAAAAATAAATTCATTAATGCTGATTTGGAGGAAGTGATTCTCAGACTTTGATTTCTGCATATATATATTTAATTACAAATCTATAAGCTCCTAATTTCTGTCTATATTGGATGTAAAGTTCAGAGCAGAACAGTGACTTTACAAAGATATTAGAACTGAATCTGCTTGAAAAAAATACAGTTTTTGGTATTCACTTTTGGAAAAGTTAAAATATAAGGATTTTACAATATTCGACTTCTGAATAAGTACCCGAAATTGCCTCAGAGTCATTAATATTCATTTAAATCTTGTTCTTAGATAACTCTATTTCCTGCTATTTTTATTTACTTGGTTTTAGGTACCTGGGATAAATGACAGCAATATACTGCCTTTGGTTTTGAAAGAGTCACTCATACCCAGCGTGGGAAGATTTCTTGCCTACTCTGATGACAAAGTACATGCTATCTTTTTAGATGGCATTACTCTAACCCTAAATTGGAATTTCAGCTCTCCTATTGAGAAGAGACAGGTAGGTATACTTCAGACTGAAATCTATTTTTTACTGGTTATCTGTGGAAAAGAGAAGAAAATAAAGTACCACACTATTTCATTTCATTTTTTGAAGTATAAAATCTGTCAAAAAGCTTTACTGATCTCTTTGGATTTCCTAGCAAATATCAGAATGACTTGACAAATAGTCAGTTTTCTAAAGATAACTGATTATAGAGAAAGGGATTAGTATTTTCATTTGTTTTGATAATTACCTATATGAGTGGTGGTTAAATAACACCTATATCTTATGTAAACAACATTTAAATTGTTGCATCTTTAATGATTCCTCTACTTATTTCTTTAAGTTAATGAAGTTAGAATAGGTTGTTTGTGTTTTTGTTTTCAGTTCTAAAATGATAAAACTTATCTTTCCACTTCTTAAGGTAAATCAAGGTCTTAACTTGGGTTGGTGTAAGTTAACTTTTCCTGATGGACAAGATCAGTTAATTCAAATTGAACACCCTGAACCATATGAAAGGTACTGAAAAGCAATTTTTAAAATTATTTTTACGTTTTACTTTTAACTAACAGAGAAGCAGCAATAAACATTATTTAAATGTTATATACATTTTTAGTTTTTCCATGTGGATAATAATGAAGGCATTTCAGTCATTTTGGAGTTGAGAGTTGTACTTGTGTTTAGTGTAACTAAATAGATCAAGTCAGCTTTCTTTTTTTTTTTTTTTTGAGACAGAGTTTTGCTCTTGTGGCCCGGGCTAGAGTACAATGGCATACTCTTGGCTCACCGCAACCTCCGCCTCCTGGGTTCAAGCAATTCTTCTGCCTCTGCCTCCTGAGTAGCTGGGATCACAGCTATGTGCCACCATGCCTGGCTAATTTTTGTATTTTTAGTAGAAATGGGGTTTCTCCATGTTGGTCAGGCTTGTCTTGAACTCCCGACCTCAGGTGATCTGCCCGCCTTGGCCTCCGAAAGTGCTGGGATTACAGGCATGAGCCACCATGCCCAGCTTTCAAGTCAGCTTTAATCATTTCATTTGTATTCAAGTAACTTTTCCAAATGAAATGTGTTGTAGACATACTGATTTGCTGTGGAGGTTAGATATGGTCAGCTGTGTTAACAATTAGCTAATCCTCTAACCAATTTGAAATAAGGTTTGCAACCACAAATAACTAAAATTGTGTATATTTCTATAAAGTGGATAAAATTACCCAATGATTACTCTTAAAATGGGGAAGATTCTTCAGCTTTTTATGAATTTTTTTTTCTTTTGGTTTATCTGTTAGTTACAGTGTAATTCTACTTGTGATAGTCTTGACATTTTAGTGATTCTACTTGAGAATATCCACAAAAGAATTGTTTTTTATTACCTCTTGAATGTATTTTTCTGTTGGGTTTTATTGTGTTTCAGTCTAAGTGCTTATTCATTGCTATTAATGATTTGCCTCAAAAAAGACAGTTTCTTTAGCAAACATTTCTGTTGATTCAGCCAATCATTTCAGATCATTCATTTTATTAAACTTGATACTTGTTTTAGATACCTAGTAAGTTATATATAATTATACATATGCGTACAAGCATATGTGTGTACGTATTAGCGGGCATTTTTTGGTTTAAATTTTAGTAAGCAAATGCTCACTTAGTCATATCATGTGTCGACATTTTTTGATAAAACTTAAACACATTTTACTTTGAAAAACTAAAAGAATTAGAACATTTAAAATTGAACTTTAAATGAAATCCAAATATCACCTTTATTTTGATTCTTAAATGTCATTTTTATTAATCAAAAATATAAGTAAATCATTTTCTTCTTGATGAATAATGGAAAAAACTTGGCTTTTCTATTGACCAGTGAAAAGTATTTTGTGAATTGCCCAGTAAATGCTTCACTTTAACATTTTTTCTTTATCCTTTTTTCCCAAATTGTCTTAATGATTTTACATTTGTTTATAACTTTATAATGTATTCAAGTTCATTTTTCAAGTATTCCTTTTAATGTATTCACTTTAGATATGTGACAACAGTAACATCATGGTGCAGGAGACTGTTCCAGACTAGTCCCAGGGAGATGCCCACTCATTCGTCATCTTCTGTTCTCCAAGAAAATTGGTATTTTTATTTTAAACTGAATCTGTTTAGAAGAGCCAATACTTTAAAAAAATTAAAGTGTCAAATGGTAAACTGAGACTTTTTTCAGACTAGTCCCAGAGAGATACCCACTCATTTGTCATCGTCTGTTCTCCAAGAAAATTGGTATTTTTCTTTTAAGCTGAATCTGTTTAGAAGACCTAATACTTTTAAAAAATTAAAATTGTCAAATGGTAAACTGAGAGTTTTTTCCCCAAAAAATTTTTCTTAGTTTTGAATATGTTTAACTCCCAAAGTATTTTTGATAGCCTAAGCTTGAAAATAATTTATTTCTAATCAGACTTCTAATTTATTACATTTCATCATATTCTATTTTACCTAAAGGTAAGAAAACCTTTCTTTGAAAACTTAACATGAAAATGAGTGGCTCTTTTTATGTGACAAATTCATCCCGAAAACTTCATGGAAAAATTTAAAGGGGATTCTTAAATTTTTAGTAATGTTAAAGGAAATAAAAGGTTTAATAACATAAGCTTTCAGAAAAAAATTGATTTTTAAATAATTTCTGTCATATTAGTTACTTCCCCCAAATTAACTGGCCGATCAAATAAAGCAAGTATTTTAGTCCATCCTGTGTGCTTTTCAGTGTGCAGGGTACTAGAACTGGGCTTCATAGGAACTTTTTGTGAAAATATAAGATAGAAAATATAGGAAGAAAGGTCATTAGAAGATTAGTGTCACTGAGAGTCTAACCTGAATATATTGGAAGACAGGGATATCAGGAACAATTTAGGAAGCTTTTTAAGTAAGTTTTGTGAGGTGACCTAACATAGTGTAGTGAAACAAAACGTAAACATTAGGCCTATTTTTGTTACCTTTTCCTAAGTCATTTCTTAGAACAAATCAAATCATATCAGTAAGTGTTATTTGAGTATCTCAGGTATCTAAGGATCCAGCTTTGCAGATCCCTCATCCTTTAGCTGTAGCCTGTTTGGAAGCAGAAAAGGTGCTAAAGTAACTAGCAAAAAAAACAGTTGTGATGGAAGGAAAATTGTACTTGTCTATAAAACTGGTCCCTTCGCCATTGCTTAGCTCGCAGTTTGTAAAATATCATCAACCTTTTTATATGAAAGCTGAGAAGAGGCTGTCAATACACACTAAAAACTGCAAGTAGAGATTGGTGATAGCAGCTAAAGGTGAAAGCAACTAGGAACAGCAGAGGTAAGATAAAGAAATTGAGGAGTAGCTCCATTCCCCTTATAAAGCCTTAGGTATCTCCACTTTGGTTTTTCTTATCAAAGAGGGTAGCTTGAAGGAAGAAACAAGATTGTACAATAAAAAGCTACCTAAGTTGTATTCTAGTATTTTTTTTCCACCACACCCTCCATTATTAGCTTATTAATTCAACTTTTTAGTCAACAAATAGTACATGTTTCATAAAAAGTTCATTATGTGAGCAACAACATTAAAGGTTGTATTGTTTCTTACACCCAGAAAAATGTGTCTTGGGTTTAAAAAAAAAAGATATTTTGCAATAATGAACAATCAGCTAACTGTTGGAGTAAGTTGTATCCAAGTTCTTTGCCACAGATGTTTAAAATTATGAAATGCTTCTTTTCATTCTCCATCCATAGGCTGGAGTACAAGGGAAAAGAGTACAAGCTGACAAGGAGCTGCATGTGATCTATTGTAGTAAAACCAATAAAGCAGACAAGTCACACACCCTACTATGAACTGTGAAGATTTTTCTAGTGACTTGAATATTTTAGACTAATGTCTTCATTAATTTTGCAGAGAGCTAGTCAAGTTACAGTTTGTAGTTGTATGCCGTTGCTCATATTTCATTCTAACCCCATGAGAAAAAGGATAAAGAGGCCAGGCACGGTGGCTCACGCCTGTAATCCCAGCACTTTGGGAGGCCGAGGCGGGCAGATCATGAGGTTAGGAGATCGAGACCATCCTGGCTAACACAGTGAAACCCCGTCTCTACTAAAAATACAAAAAAATTAGCCGGGCATGGTGGCAGGTGCCTGTAGTCCCAGTTACTCGGGAGGCTGAGGCAGGAGAATGGCGTGAACCCGGAAGGCGGAGCTTGCATTAGCCGGGCATGGTGGCAGGCGCCTGTAGTCCCAGCTACTCAGGAGGCTGAGGCAGGAGAATGGCGTGAACCCGGGAGGCAGAGCTTGCAGTGAACTGAGATCTCACCACTGCACTCCAGCCTGGGTGACAGAGCGAGACTCCATCTCAAAAAAAAAAAAAAAGAAAAAGGATAAGGAACACACACTGAGGAGTTCCGCTGGAGATGTACATATTTGCCTTCTACTCCATACCAGTTGCCCAACTATCATTCCATAGAACATGGTAAGAACTAATGTTCATCATGTTAACCCTCGGTACTTAAAAAAAACAATGAAATAAGTAGGTAGTCTACTCCAGAAGGAATTTAATTAAAAATGGTTGTTTTGACACATAATTCAACTATTTAAAAACTTGGATCTCCCATACGATCCATTCCCAAAGAGTTCCATATAAACGAGGTATTAATATATGCACAAGTACAGAAAAATAAAAAATCCTTTCTTCTGAGAGAAACAATCTAGGTAGGAAAAGCAGGAAGTTAAATAGTTCAAGAGAAGAGATTACAAATATGTGATTAATTAATATGCTATAGGAATTCAAGGAAGGAGAAAGCACTTCTTTCACAGAAGGAATGGGATTTTAATAGGTTTTTAAAGTTTGAGTAAACTTTAGGGAGGAAAGTAGAGTATATGGTAGGTTAGTACTAAGAAGTAGCAGGAAGGCCCATTATCTTCAAACGTCAATATTTGATTATAAATTCCTTGAAGTGGATTTACAAGGGGTAGACTTTTATTCACTTAGCTTTAAAGGCACTCAGTAAGTATCAGTTGAGTCAAGTTGATTTGTTGCTAAATAAAGGTAACATAAAGAGAATTCTTCTGTGTTCTTCCATTTAAAATTCTAACCTTTATGAAAAAAAAAATCAGGTATGCTTATTTGAAATATCATGAATACAAAGGAATCAGACAACTAAATGAATTTTTTTTTCCTTGGACAGGTCTGTTGCTTCTGAACTTGAAAAGATACAGAAGTTTAACTGTATCCTTTAAACAGAATGCACTGTCCTACATAATTACTCTCTTTCGTTCTAGGCTTAATTCATGACTTCAGTACTTTGTGAATATTAATCTATACTTAATATATTGCTAACCTTTATTGAGTAAGCAAATACTTAAGATTGTAATTTAAGATGGATCTTGTCCATAGAAGGTATAGCATGTTAACATTTATACTTTTCTTGAGTTTAAATTGGATAAAGAACAGTTAATTAGGGTTAAGGTCTCCTTTGGAAACTTTTTCACTTACATAATTATAAAATTATAGCTGTATAAGACCTCTTTTTTTTAATGAAATATTTCGTTCTGTACATTCTCACCCAATTCATCTAAATTTGTTTTCTCTTGTGATTTTGCTCTAATCTTATTCAAATAAGTTCTGTAGTGAACAGGTTTTTCACTCTAAATCTTTTAAAATTAAAAATAGACACTACACAGATTCCTTATAATCCTATCATCCTACTCTTTAATTCCCATATCATTTCTTCATTTAAAGAAATGTTACTGAGATTTTCATTATTTCCTCCTTACCACCAAACCTCCACCCAAACACACACATACACTCTCTGTTCTCTTTCCCCCTCCTTTAGACTCTAACTAGTTTCTTCATTTACAAGGAGCAGACTTGATAAGCCTTGCAGTTCTAACTCTATTATGAATCCAAGAGGTCTTCCAACTGAGAAATATTCAATATGAAGGCTATGCTTTCTGAATATAAAGATATTTATATAATGAAACATGTGGGGAAAACCCCCTTAACTAAGCAACTTAGTGCTACTAGAGAATAGTGGTATCCTAAACCAGATTTCTAACAAGAAAAATGAACAGTCTTCTGATCATTATAAACCGGGATCTTCAGAAACCTTGCTAGGAGAAGTTAATGAAAACCGAGTATCAATAGCATTGAAAAAAACCTCTGAAATCCTTCACGATATTGACTGTCTTCTATCAAACTCTAAAAAGTGAAAAATGGAATTATTACAACATATTATTAAAATTTTTAAGGATGTTGTTTCAAGTGACTGGTATAAAATTACTAGTAAGCCAAGATATTGTACGTATTACCCCTACACAATGATTGTGAAAGAACTGACATTTAACTTTGAAGGTATTTTTATTTAATTTGTACATTTTTAAAATATGTATTTGTATTTTATTAATAAATAACTATCTTGAAGTTTTGAACTGTTTCACATTTAATTCTTATTTCAGATTTATGAGAAAAAAATTTGTAATGTTATAAAGTTGTTGCTGTTTTTATCTTGTGGAGCATTCACTATTAATCTTCCGGTTTGTTCATTTTGTTTGTTTTTATTGTTGACATATGGTCTTGCTCTGTCACCCAGGCTGCAATGCAGTCGTGCAATCATAGCTCACTGCAGCCTTGAACTTGTGGGCTCATGGGATCTTCCCACCTCAGCCTCCCGAGTAGCTGGAACCACAGACATGCACCACCACACCTGGCTAATTTTTAAAAATATTCTTTGTAGAGACGGGAATCTCCCTATCTTGCCCAGGCTGGTCTTGAACTCATGGCTTCAAACTATCCTCCTACCTCCATTTCCCAAAATGACAGGATTACAGGTGTGAGCCACTGCACCCGGCCTCTTTTTTTTTAATATGCAGAATTGTGCATTTTTTCACTTGCTATTTGGTCCCTTTACTCCAAGTATTTTTCAATAGAGCTATGAGACAAGAACCAGATCTGAAAAAAACAGAGACAAGCAACATTGTAAACTAAAAATCAGGCACTTTGGCAAAGACTGTATCTAAACTGTCTCATGAACCAGATACTTTCTTTTGAACACAGGAAAAGATTTATGCTGTAAAGTGTTTAACAGAAATGAGCTCACCAAAAGTGCTATTATAAGCTTGTCTATTAGGAAAGAACAAAACCACATATCTGTAAAGACGTCAAGATTACACCAAACACAACCAGAAATGTTCTAATTTTCTGATTTGTATAAAAGACCTGGCTTTTCAAATGAAAGGGAAGCAGTAACAGAGAAAACGAGAAAAATGGGGAGAAGAGTGTAGATCAGGAATCATAATCTCACTAAGTTAAAGGGGCACAATGCCTTTTTTTTAGTTCCTCTGACACTGGATTCCTTCACATTTCAATTCTGAAGTACCATTTCCTCATAAGGGCCTCCCATACTACCTGACTAAAGTTAGCGTCTCCCAAGTCTATTATATCACCCCACTTACTTCCTTTACAGTACTTATTACAATCTGTCTACCTTGTTTCCTTATGGCTCACACCCTCCACTAGAACTTGAGTTCCATAGTCATTCTGTGGCACACTAAGAACACTGTATAAATGAATCAGTAAGCTGGGCACAGTGGCTCACGCCTGTAATCCCAACACTTTGAGAAGCCAGGGAGGGGGTATCACTTGAGCCCAGGACTTCAACACCAGCCTGGGCAACATAAACGAGATGCCCATCTCTACAAAAAACTTAATTACCTTTACGATGGCATGTGCCTGTGGTCCCACCTACTCCAAAGGCTGAGGCTGGAGAATCCCTTGAGCCCAGGAGGTCAGGGCTGCAGTGAGCTATGATTGCACCACTGCACTCCAGCCTGGGTGACAGAGGGAGACCCTATCTCAAAAAAAAAAAAAAGAAATGAATAAGCATCTACAGGCAGTAGACTGACTACAGAGAAAAGAACTATTATTACATTGTCTGGGTTTGCATGAAGCCATCTACGTTGTTCCTCAATAGCTCCGTAAGGCCTAGATTATAAGACTTCTACCACACTGCCAAAAGGGTAATGCCAAATTACTGCATTCAGAAAGAGAAAATTTGTCCTTAACATGGCTAAAAGCACTCAAAATTGTAAATACATTTGCTGAGAAATACTTTAAATTCTCATTTAGGTTATGTGGGGGTTAAAATGTGTTTAATTTTCCCTGTCAGTTGGGTCTTTTGCATTGGCTAAGAACCAAGAGTGTGACAAGAAATGAGTTCTATGATTGAGAAACTCTGAGATTCTGGGGGTGGCCTAGGAGTTTGCTTTGAGATTGAAGTTTATTTTCTATGGTCAGCTATATAATTACGATGATGCCACCCCTTGCTTTCCATCTGACACTTGGTTTGAGAAACTGTAAGTAGGAAAGGGAAAGAAGAATGTCCCTCCTTGGGCCTCTTCTTTTGGACCCGTGGTTCCTAGAGTCAAACGTCAAGCTGGTATTTCCTTGCTGCTAAGAGAGCAACCACTACTCTGAGGCAGAGACGGGATGGGACCTAGCCAGAGTCCCAGTAAACAAACTGTATCTTGTAAGCCCGATTTAATTAGGGTCAAACTACTCTGTATGGACTTGCTTTTTCGACTTCTAAGGATTTAGTAGTCATGATTAAGTGTTCTAGTCACGCTACTGCGGTCTACAAACAGTAGCTCCACAACATCCGCCCGCATCGTGGCAACGAATTATCAAGAAATCCCCAAGGGGACGGTGAGGCGCTACTGAGGAGCGGCGGGTCAGCCAGGTCGCGAGGTCCCAGTCTGGTGAAAAGCTCCGTTGCCCACCCTGAGGGGTTCGCGGAAGGAAGTTGGCAGTATCGCTGCACCTTCGAGACGCGACGGCCGAGGCTCCTAGCTCAAGCTTCTGACAGTAAGGCCTGTATGCCTTGCATTCGGGGAGGCCACTTCTCAGTCACCAGCTTTCTGGCCACCACTTGGGTGCGTCGTAGGGATGTTGGCAGCTACGTTTGCCGCACGGCTCCGACTAAACTGAAAAACGAATCCTCAAGTTTGACAAAAGTAAACTAAGAAGGCACTTTCCTCCTCTCACCCTGACGTCCCAAAAGTTTCCTTTTTAGGGGTCAGGGCCTACGGTGGGCGAGGAGAAACGAGTATCTACCCACTGCACCAAACAGTACTCGTACGTCACCTCCTTTCGACTTGGAGCGGGCCAGTATCCCGGCGTCCTCTCGGCTGACGCTGCGGTCTGAAGCCACTCTGGCCTGCAGCCGACGTCTCTATGGTTCCGACCGAGGGGAGGAGGAGAGGGGCGGGGCCGCTGTTCGAGCTGCTGCTTGTTTGAACTCAGAGAACCTGGGGTGGGTACGGCTGAGCCGCTGCGAGGGACTGAGGGGAGGGGGTGGGGTGGAAGCCGCGGAACTGCGTCCTGAGGTGGGAGACCGGAGGTGGAGACCACCGAGTCTGATGTCTGGAGGGTCCGGTTGCGGGTCGGAGGGCGTGCTGAAACAGCCGGCACGCGGGAGCCAGGAGTCTGCTGGGTGCGTGTGACCCACGAGCTGGCACTGTCCCGCGGCCCTGGGGTCTGCGAGGAGCCCTGGCGCCGCCTTCCGGCTTCGCTCTTTTTTAGATACCTAGAACCCCAGCCCGCCGCCTTGGCTCCGCGCCTCTGGCGTTTTTCTGGCCCAGGGTAGGGTTCCGCGAGTCTTGCAGGAGGAGCCCATTGCAGTCCTTAACCGGTTGTAAGAGCCTTTCGCGCCCCGGAGCCCTTGAGGCTTGAATGCTGAAAGTGTGACGTGGTCCCTTCCCTGCAGCCTGGCCCATTTTTTTAAAATGACATTTAAAAAATTATTGCATCACACCAGACTCAGAAAAGGATGTCTGGGAACTTCTGAGGCTTGAAACATGTTGAAATACAGAATTTCGTTTTATTCGTAGTGGGCATAGGAACTAAACATTTTAAGTGCAGACATCTAATGGCTATAAAAAGTTTCAGTGAAAGTAAGCAAGATTTGTGTTTCCTTTCTTTGTCAGTTAGTTGCATCAGATTTGGCATCTGCTTTTGATATTTTTCCATTAAAGAAATTAAATATATTAAGTTTACAACAACTACAGTTAAGTGAAGAGGTCTTACTGGTAAAGCATAATAAAGGCGGTTTCAGGAATTTGGACTGTGTTTTGACCTTAGGTTTTTGCATATAACGTGTCAGGTTGGTGGGGAGGAGGGAAAGTTAAAACAGATGACATTTACTTAGAGAATGTATCAGCTCTTATTTGTTTTGACAGAAATAATGTCTAAGAGATTATTAGCAAACAATACATGATATCGTATAATTAAAGTGACCAGCTAATCATATGTTTGTGGAATTCAGGAAGGAGAAAAGTACTGCTATGTATACTCTGAAGGCCCCAAAGTTAGTGGTATTTGCTATACGGGGGATGGGGTGTGACAAAGTTTGGCCATTGCAGAAAGTGGCTTCTGCGAGTCATAAGGAGGAATTTATAATATGTCAGAGAAGTCATCCCAAACAGTATATTTAGTTCATAGGCTGAGGATTTATTATGTGATTACCCCTTGTATTAGTAAAATGGAATATTTATTAAATACCTTGAGCACATTGGATTTTAAGCATGACAAGTTTAAAAGAGATCACTACTCTTAAGGAACATTCTCAACAAAAATGAATATGTAAAATAAACTTAAAGCTTATGAATTTAGGAGGTTCGGGAGTCCGTTTTATTTGTAGGGGGAGGAATAGGAAGTGGAAAAGGAAATAAGTTTAAGAAGAAAAATGGGTACGCTTAGGTGTATTTTTCAGAGTCAATAAGTAATACAGGAAGAACACTTAGTAAATTTCTCTTTCTAATACTCAGAATCTAAGCCAGATGCTAAATATCTGCACCAAAAGTTGTAGTAGAATAGATGCCAGAAATGTGGGGTTCTGGAGCTGCAATTATACCTTCCTTAAAAATAGAAATAGTACTCTTCTACATATCTATTCTGTAATAAATTACACCAAAATTTAGAGGCTTAAAACAGTAGACAATAGGGGCCGGCTCACGCCTGTAATCCCAGCACTTTGGGAGGCCGAGGCGGGCAGATCACGAGGTCAGGAGATCGAGACCATCCTGGCTAACACGGTGAAACCCCATCTCTACTAAAAATACAAAAAATTAGCCAGGCGTGGTGGCGGGCGCCTGTAGTCCCAGCTACTCGGGAGGCTGAGGCAGGAGAATGGTGTGAACAGGGGAGGCAGAGCTTGCAGTGAGCCGAGATCATGCCACTGCACTCCAGCCTGCGTGACAGAGCCAGACTCCATCTCACACGCACACACAAAACAAAGTAGACAATAATTTTATTCTTTCTGCGAGGTCAAGACTTAGCTGGCAGTTCTGGCCAAGGGTCTCATGAAGTTGCAGTCAGGATGTCGGCAGTGGCTGCAGACATCTGAAGGGTTGACTGGGGCTGAAGGATCTGCTTGCAAGTTCACTGTGAGCTTTTTCCTTCCTCTTTCATCAGCAAACTGTTTTGTACTTTCCATTGATAAAATGCATTCACATTATACCCATTATGTATAATATATGTGTTCCTATTTGTAAATCGTGATACAGTTATTTGTAAACAGTAAATTTTGCTTGTTGAGGTCGCTTTAAATTTGGATCATCATGTAAATACTTCAAGTAATCTTTTGATTTTTCACTTTGCTCATGATACTTTATTGGCAAACTAATCCTTTTAAAATCTGAACTCATCATGTAAAATGTAGGGTTAGTAGGTTCGGTGTGGTAGTTTATGCCTATAGTCCCAGCACTTTGGGAGGCCAAGGTGGAAGGATCACTTGAGGCCAGGAGTTGAAGACCAGCCTGGGCAACACAGTGAGACCCCATCTCTACAACACACTTTAAAAACAAAAATTTAGCCAAGTATAGTTGTGCATTTCTATAGTCCTAGCTACACAGGAGGCTGAAGCAGGAGCCCATGAATTCAAGGTTACAGTGAGCTATGATCATGTCACTATGCTTCAGCTTGGGCAACAGAGATACCTTGTCAAAAAAAAAAAAAAAAAAAAAAAAAAAAAGATGGGCAGTAGGGCTGTTTCCAAACAGTTGACACGAACATTCTTGCTGGATAATAATGTTCCAGCTTCTTGGACAGTACCTTGAAAAAAAAAAAAAAAAAAAAAAGTAAGGTTATTAACATTTAAATATATATTGTGATTATTAAAAATTGCTTCGTGAGGGAAAGAAAATATAATGCACTGGCTTTATAAGGACGTCATGAAATTTGCAGTTAAGTGGATATTGGCCTTTTATTTTTGTCTTCCTTCTGGAATGAGGGTTGAAAATAAATTGGTAATTAGGTCAGGCTCAGTGGCTCACTCCTGTAATCCCAGTGCTTTGGGATGCTGAGACAGGAGGAACACTTGAGACCAGGAGTTTGAGACCAGCCTTTTTCCTTTTTTGTCTCTTCAAAAAAGGAAAAAAGAAAAAATTACCCAAGCTTGGTGGCACTTGCCTGTAGTCCCAGCTAGTCAGGAGGCTGAGTCAGGAGAATTGCTTGAGCCTAGGAGTTAGAGGCTCAAGTGAGGTACGACCTTACTCACTCCAGCCTGGGCGACAGAGCAACACTTTGTCTCTAAAAAAAGAAAAGAAAAATTGTGATTATATATAAACAAAGGTTGAGTGGCAGCAGAGCTTTTGTGTTAGGCATCTGTGTACTCTGTGTCCAGCCTAGGTTTTTCTCATACCTTAATGGCCTTCTTTCTCCTTAGGGCTAACTTACAGGCCATACTTTACTGAAGGAGGGGAATATTGCTGCTGCTGCTGCTGCTGTGGGTTGGCCATTAATTCAAGTTTTCAGTATCCCACTTTCAGTCCAGCTAAGTGGATAAGGGCATTTATTTTTAGTTGAAAGGGACATTTTATCAACTTTAAAGTTATATGCATTAAATATTTAAATATATTGACTTCTTTCTCCATTCAGGTGTTGAATGTTTGTTTTCTAAAGGAGACAATGATTCATAATTTGTGACACTATAAATCCTGAGGTTTATAGAAAGGATTCATGACTTTGTAATGGAGGTGTCTTTTGCATTTTTTGTATTTTGGTCACATCTCTTGGTTGAGAGTACCTGGAAATCAGTATTTCCAGATCCTGGAAGAATCTATAGAAAATAATCCATCTTAATGCTTTAGATAACAATTTTCATTATTGCAAATAATCAAGAATGAGCATCGTTGTAGACTCCATTATCATTTAAAAAATAGTTGTTATCTGCAAAGTAAGTATGCTTCACATAAGGAATCTGTGTAAGTTGTTTCTTGTGTCCACTATTACATAACTGAACAAATTGTTTTTATATTATACAATAAATTTGATTTATGAGATTGGATGTAATTTTATTAATACCAATTAGTGTTATGTATTTAATGTATTTATTAATATATATGTTATAAATTTTTTATTACCTTTTTAAAATTATGCTTTTAAGAGGCTGACTTTAACGATCAAATATGAGTTGTTTAATTACTTCTGGCTTTAACTTTTCAAAGTAGCTTTATTGGTTTTATGGTCATAAGACATTGAAATTTTTCAAAAATTCAAAAAAGGAAAAAAAGTAGTGATTACATTTGTAAGCCCACCACTGAGAAACAAACCAAATGAACAGCCTTCCAGATTTTTTAATAGACCCGTATATATATTTTTTAACAAAAATGTAATTTTTTACATATTATTTTATAGGCTATCTTTTAAAATTTAATACTTACTGAACATCTTTCTGTGTCAGTAAATATGAGAATAAGTATTTTTAATGGCTGCATATTTGTGGAATTTATTTCACTAGAGCCATATTTCAGACATATATATTGTTTTAAATTTTTTCTTGTAAACAGTGCTATGCTGAACATTCATATATAGTTGTTTGTATTTATCTAATTATTTCCTTATTTTCCTAGAATTGGAAATGTAGCATCAAAAGTGTTTGCTTATTTTTTGTGGTTTTTGATACATAGTCAAATTGACCACTAGAAAGGTTATATCGATTTACACTCTTGCCAATAATCTTTGAGAGTGATCATTATTTCCCTACTCCTGTCACCGAGTATTACTAATCTTTTGTCAGTCTTACATTGAAATCTCATTGTTATAATTTGAATTCAACTGATTACTAATAAAATTGAAATCTTTTCATATTTTTTGACCATTTGTATTTCTTTTCCAAATTGTCTTTTCATGTACATTGCCCACATTATTATTGGGATGCTTATATCTGTATTAATTTTTAAGAGCCCTTAATACATTAGGGCTACTAATCTTTCTCTGTCATAAATGTTCTAAATTTTCTCCATTTATTTGTCT